TACAATCCATTACAGTGTACAAAACAATCATCGCAAAATGGCAGCAGCTGCGTTTGTATGAAACAGAGAGAGCGAGTCCGCTATACCAGGATATTATTTAATATTTGTACAGAGAATATTGATTTGAGTTGTAATATTTCATTAGCCAACCAAACACAAAGCTTCCACAAAGAAAAAAAAATGTTCCCAGCAAGCGAATAGCGCCGATTGCAGTTACCCGGATGAGCCTGTGTCGTTAGTTTTTACTGGTTATTATCGGCGAATAACATACCTCTGAATGTGGTGACTTAACAATCAGAATAGAGTATTCCACAGAGCTGTGTAATAAGTTTAGGTATTAAGGATGTAGAATATGGTCATGCACACATATATGTGCTTTATAAGTACTAATAAACAGCCAATATGCTAGTAATATGCATGCTAATATGTGACCCTGGACGACAAGACCAGTCATAAGGGTCAATTTTTTGAAATTGAGTTTCATACATTATCTGCAATAAGCTGAATAAATAAGCTTTCCATTGATGTATGATTTGTTAGGATAGGGCAATATTTGGCTGAGACAACATTTAGGGTACATGTACATAAAGTACATTTAGGAGTGACATGTAGACAACAGGTTAAGATACAAACTATGCATTCGTCGAGTAATATGGTGCTTTTGCCTGATTAGATCTGAATCAGAGTTGATTAAAAAAAAGTATACAGTGCTGCTCTAAGTGTGCAATTTCTCTGCACCAAATGGAATCACGAATTACTAGAAAAGACAAAAACTTTTATAGTGCCATGCTTAAAGATTAAAAAAAAAATTGATAGAACGAACTATAGAACGATACTGAGACATTAGGGAGTCTGTTCTTTATGTACATTTGATCATACATCATGTGTATCGTAATCCTTCTGTAAATCATGTCAGGGTCTCTAACCCTTCTCAGTGAGCAGGAAATGAACTCATATTCAGGATGAGACAACTCCAGTAGGGCAGAATCCACTGGCTAGAGCAGACAGCTCTGAAATAGATGCATTCTGATAGCTGGTATTAGCCGCTTGCCAGAGTAACTGCCCAAATCAGGCTGACATGGTTGTTGCAAAATGAGGGTACAAAAGAAGGACATCTTGAATATATGAGTGCAGTGTATTGCGGGGTTATTTGCCATTCAGAACTGAGCTGAGAAACAGAATATAGAACTGCAATTTAAAGGATGTAGAATTAAAATAAATTGAAATTCAAAGGCATTCATGTAACTAATTTTTACAAAGCCTTTTCTGAAAGTAAAATAAAAAAAAAAAAGCTTTGAAGTTTAAAGATTTATAGGCTTTATGGATAGACAGAATGATAGAACGACAGAACGACAGAACGATAGATACAGACAGACAGACAGACAGACAGATAGATAGATAGATAGATAGAATGTTTGAACAATACATGCTTGAACGTCTGAATAAATAAGCTTTCCATTGATGTATGATTTGTTAGGATAGGGCAATATTTGGCTGAGATACAACTATTTGAAAATCTGGAATCTGAGGGTGCAAAAAAATCAAAATATTTAGAAAATCACCTTTAAAGTTGTCCAAATTAAGTTCTTAGCAATGCATATTACTAATACAAATTAAGTTTTGGTATATTTACGGTAGGAAATTTACAAAATATCTTCATGGAACATGACATTTACTTAATATCCTAATGATTTTTGGCATAAAAGAAAAATCGGTAATTTTAACCCATACAATGTATTGTTGGCTATTGCTACAAATATACCTGTGCTACTTATGACTGTTTTTTGGTCTAGGGTCACATATGTAACTAGGTAATAGTGAGAATTGGTCCCTGTACTGAAGTGTTATCAATATTTCCAAAAGATTTACATATGATACTCCCCTACAAATTAGCCTATGAAAACAAAGCAGCTTACTAGGTTTTAGAATGGAGCTATAGCAAACTCTGACTGTGTGGTGATGAATAAAGATAGTTGATCAAAAAGTGACAATGGTTGCATTGAGTTATCATCAGCATGATCAACTGAAATCAGCTACAGTATGTGTAGAATGTTGGGACAGCAGCAGCTGGATTTGGTATCATGTGGTTTGGAATCTACGGCCATGTCATCAGTTCCTGTGTGACAGCGTCTGCCACATGAGTCCGGACCAAAGAAGACAGACAGTGAGGATGAATGTCATAGCTAGACAGTGGCAGAATGAATGACTTCCCACAGCTGTACATACTGTGCTGTGTGTTACACTAACTCATATTCCGGAGTCTATTCACATGCACCTAATTTTAGGTAAGGTAGGAGACTGTCTGAGATACCTTCTTTTCACCAAATCTACACCCTTAAAAATTAAGGTTCTTTATTGACATTGATTGACTCATTGAAGAACATCCATGGAACCTTCCATTGGACAGAAGGTTCTTTAAAGTGAAAAAGGTTCTTCAGATTATTAAAATGTCCTTCACACTTTTTTTAAAGAAATGTTCACTGAAAGGTTCTTTGTGGAGCCAACATGATCCTTCTTTTGGCATCTTTATTTTCAAGAGTGTACCTATATAAAGTACAGGCGCAGAAGATGAATTGGCACCTTCTGAAGAAGAAAAACTATCAGGCAGATTAAAGTAGATGAGTTTTATGATCTACTTAGGTTTTTGGGAAACACATCCCAGGTAGTTTCAGTGTTAAAATCTTAGTATATAAATGTTTATAGTAATGTTTTACATCTTGTACCATTTCAAAGTTCTCATCAGGTCTCTTTCCTGCACTCTACCATAATGCATATAATAAAAAATTTAAAATGGCCACAAATATAATCTAGAACAGCTTTTATAATCAAACCTATCATCATTTTGTCAAACAAATTCAATAAATAAAATACAAACTCTGGAAATTGGATGCTTGATCCTTAAGTCAGTTTTAGATCTTTAATTGATAACATTTACGCCAGTGTTACAGTAAAGACATCAACAGGCTGAAGGTAGTAAATACCAAATACAAGGTTCCCACTAAAGCTACTACTTCATACAGCAGAATAAATTATACCATGATAACGTACACACATGCTGAAAGGAAATGGGAGAAAAGCATAAACACAAATGCTAACGAAAGCAGGTGCCCAGTTTGACGTCCCAGAGGGGCATGATGGGTAATATTTTTAATATCCAAATGTTGATTAACAAAGGTGTTAGCTGTGAATGTTCTATACTAGAAGTATTTTCATTGCTCATTTGATAAAGATATCGACAGTTGAAAGGGAAGTGGGCGGGGTTTGGGTCAGGTGGTTTCTTGAAGAGTTCTTTTCCCCTTAAATGCACCCAATAAAACGTTTGTTGAGGAATTAATTGAGTCAGAAGCAATCAGTTAGCACCAAACACTGCTGTGTTTCCCATAGTCCGTTACATGAGCCATCAGTCACCTCCAAATGTTATAAATGTCAATATTTCATCTTCATTATGGAACCACAGATTTGTAGCTAGGAATCATAAGCAAACGATTCACCTTCCAGTCAGTTTTAAGTGCAACTGTCTTTTATCAAGAGCTTCTCACATTGAATCCTAAGAAAAATGATACATAATAACTATCGAAAGCAAAGAAACAAAAGCAGTAAATATAAACACAAAATTACAATATAAGACTTACACATATCCCCTGCATCATCTACCACACAACAACTTTTCTGTTTTAGTATAAAACATATTCTTTATAAACAAACAATAAACGATCTGCTTCATCTACTGTACAGTTCCATTTATGTGTCAAAATGTCACCTGTGAGTGCTACACAAATGTCGAAATTTCACAACTTTTTTTGTACAAACTTGTGAATGCATGGGATCTTAATTACAGGAGCCCTGGCGTGTGTATTTGCATCAATTTGTAAAATAAAAAAAAAAGAAAATGAAATGGGAACGTAAGAAAGAGGTTGAGATGGATTATTTAATTGGTCACTTCTGTAATCTGATCACAGGCAGAAATAGTTGGAATGTTGTCAAAATTATCATAAAGTGTCAAAAGTACGGGGCCAGTTAGATTTTTTTAAATAAATTTATTATTTTATTCAGCAAAGATTCAATAAATTGATTAAAATTGACAGTAAAGACATTTATAACGTTATGAATATGCTATAATATATGCTGTTCTTTTGAACTTTCTATTCATTAAAGAATCCTGGAAACTAAAATGATCATGGTTTCCACGAAAATATTAAGCAGCACAACTGTTTTTGAAACTGATAATTAGAAATGTTTTTTGAGCAGAAATCAGCATATTAGAATGATTTCTGAAGGATCATGTGACACTGAAGACTGGAGTAATGATGCTGAAAATTCAGCTTTGCATCACAGGAATAAATTACATTTTTTAAATATTTTCAAATAGAAAATGCTTTTTTAAATTGTAATAATATTTCCTGTTTTTACTGTATTTTTGATCAAAGGTATCATCAAAAATATTTATCATACTGACCCCAAACTTTTAAACACTGTAGTACTTGGTCTAAAATCCACTTGTGCATTTGAAACATGCTACTTTGTTAATAAAAGCAAACGGTATAATCTAAATGGAATGTTAAATGTTTGCATTGCTTAACTCAAAACCATAATAGAAATGTTTAAAACTATGAATTTTTGTTAGTTTGAGGGCAAAGTGTTACTTCACTCTAGAAAATTAAAGAATAAAATTTAGAAAAAACTTTCTAAAGCCAGTATCCAGGCAATGTCGTTTTCTTTCCCCCAGATGATCGCTGAGGACTAAACTGGCATTCGAGCGAGGGAAAAATCGCTGGTCCTCTAAAAGCACTGCTAATTCCCAGCAGAAAGCCAGACTTCCTACAGAGTGGCCAAGTTCGCATGGAATGTCAAGTGAAATATGAAGGCAGAGAAGGTCAAATCGCTCAGGAACATTACGGCTGGAAAGTGAAAAACCAGCAGTTACACTTTCAACACACACTCACAAACTCGATCCCCTGTTCGTTTTAGCCCACTGCTAGCATTTCACGTAAAAAACTTCGGGGTTTGAATTAGTAAAAAATGCTACGTGTGGATCTTGAAACAACGAAACGAAACAATAGTTACGATAATTATAATTACAACAACTGTAATAACAATATCGATAGAAAACAAGCGAGATTATCCATTGTAATGACACAGAGATTCATACACGACTATGCACAGCGAGGTGAAAGTACGTTTTGGAAATGGCTCGGAATGCGTCCTTGCGTCCGTCGACGTGCCTGCAGCCGTTGCATGGTCCTCTTGTCCGAGTTAGAGGTACAAGACAAGCCCAGAATCACGAGAAGGTCACGTCAAATGGAATGGCAAGTTTCTTGTCTTGAGAATCAGAGTAAAAGCCTCTCACGCTCGTGCTGGCGGATGCACTGAAGAGCTCCAGCTGGTCGGAGGAGGTGTTTGTGCATCTGAGAGCATGTGAAGGTGTGTGTGTAGTGATCGGACTCAGTAAGCCTGTCCCGTCTCCACCTGCAGAAGTCCCAGCACCGCCGAATGATCGCCCAGCTTCATCCTTCTCTGAGTCGACAGACTCACGTTCTTGGCCAGATAGTCCACAGCGGCTGTAGGAAACGACACACAAACACGTACTCATGAGTAGGACGTTCCACGTAAGCGCAATCTCACACCAGTTTATGCATTAATAAAACACCACTAGCAAACAGAAGACCTTCAGTTTGATTAGTTCAAATGGTTTCAATGAACCGGTTCAAAAACTGATTCAAATGTACATACATTGGACTTTTTGTTGTTTATTTACTGATGCTGGACCATTTCGGTCCAGGACAATGCATGGTCTTTTTAGATATATTTTTAGTTTTACTGGTTGTATTTATTGTATATAAAAAAGAGACAAAATTATGATTTTAAAAAACAGGTTCATAAACAATGGCATTTAAAAAAAATTGTATTTATGGTTTCAGCATGGTTTACTCCCAAACACATCTTTCCCTTGTACTTTGCAGTGTTATTTTATTTATTATTTATGTTATTAAAATAGTAGTTATTGTGAATTAGCTTTTATTTTTATATTTTCATTTTTATATTTTCAAAAATATATATTTTTTATATGTATATATTTATTTATTTTTATTTATATTCATTTATTATAGAATTTACTATCTATCTATCTATCTATCTATCTATCTATCTGTCTATCTATCTATCTATCTATCTATCTATCTATATATCTATCTATCTATCTATCTATCTTAGGTAATTTTAATACTTTATAAACCTTAAAAGAAAATTAGTTGCTTTGGTAACTAACCGAAATAAATACGTTTACGTTTAAGTTTATATGAAATTATTTATTTCATTTATTCCAACAATTGGAAATAATTTTTTTTATAGTTTTAGTAAACTGTGACAACAGTGATTCAATCGAATCATTAAAACAGAACCATCACATTTGTGATTCAAACATCACTACTGACACAATCCACCACAAGTGGCACAGTATTACTTGTTTAATACAGTCACTGGTCACTTCTTTAAACATCTGACTAGAGTATTCAACAAATGGCACATATAAAGATTAATAAAAGATATTACAAACTAAAATGGGCATTTAGTCAATCAAGGGCCAGAGAGACGGGAACGCCTGGTGTCATTCATTCAGCTCTGTGTGTGTGTGTGTGTGTGCCAGTCTTTATTACTCTGAGCGTTTGAGATTTCATGCTTCATACTCGCCTCAATTTCAGCAGCTCTCTCATCTGACTCATTAAACAGATAAGTCCTCTCAATCTCACTCATAATTAACCTGACATTCGCTCGTCAGATCTCTTCAATCAACCCTCCTGCACCTTCTGATGGACCTGACACTACTTCACACTCCCACACACACACACGTTTACCTACACATCTCACCGCAGACAAACCAAAGACCTCTATAGAGCTCATTATAATGACTACAGACTAACCCAAGCCTCAAAACATGCATTTTTGCATGAAAAAAAAAAGATTTTGAATCATTTTAATAAATCTTTGAAGACATCCTCAAAGGGAGTTTTGTTAGATTTAGATAACCTCTGGGGAACAATTTTATCCCCAAACTAAAGTTTGGACACAATATCTCAAGGTTTGTAAGACATATACATCACAAAACACGAAACCACTGACTTCTGTGACAACATCAGCCTCTGATTATGTTAATTCAATCAGTCAATTCTTTCCTGCCCTGAAGTGTGTGTGTGTGTGTGTGTGTGTGTGTGTGTGTTTGTGAGAGGTGACTAAAAGGACATTAGGACCCATGGGGTGTAAAAGTGGGCTTTGAAGTGTCCGTTTCCCATTCGAGGGAAGAATACTGTGACTAACAGTGGAGCCCAGGGCCAGTGCTGGGGTCTTTATCAGGAGCATCTGTCTGCCCTGCTCTGATGGGCAGAGGGGTCAGAGAGATGGGCACTGCTCACCCTCAGAGAGGAAACACACTCTTAACTGTCGATACGCACAGGGCATCAGTGTGACTAAACTATAGTGGATTCCCTACTGAAAAGATCAGCGCGTGCTGTATCGGCTCACCAGGGATGCATTTATTTGATTAAAAATACAGTAAAAACAGTAATATTTTGAAAAGTTATTACAATTTCAAATAACTGTTTTCTCTGTGAATATATTTTGAAATGTAATTTATTCCTGTAATGCAAAGCTTATTTTGTTTTTAGCATCATTACTTCAGTCTTCAGTGTCCTTCAGAAATAATTATAATATGCTGATTTGCTGCTAATTTATTATCAGTTATTACTGGTGATCAATTATTAATAATGGTTTTGTGGAAACTGGTACATTAATAGATTTTTTGATGAATAGAAAGTTCAAAAGGACAGCATTTATTTAAAATGGAAATCTTTTGTAACGTTTACTGTCTTTGCTATTATTTTTGATCCCTTTAATGCATTCTTGCTGAATGAAAGTATTAATTTCTTAAAAAAAAAAAATACTAACCACAAACAGTTTATGGAAAACAATTAACTTAACTAATTTGAGCTGAATGGCTTTTGCATTAAATGCAAGCTATAAATGAAACCATAAACTAGACCAATTATGTAAAATAGGTGATTTTGAGTCATCTGTCCAGAACCAAGACCAGCATTTAGATTTTCGTTTACTTTATCGCAACAATCTTGGACCACAAAAAGGCCAAAACACGATATATACTAACTTTTAAAATGTTAGTTTCTTTTTCTTGTTTTCTTTATATTATCTATCTATCTATCTATCTTAGGTAATTTTAATACTTTATAAACCTTAAAAGAAAATTAGATATCTATCTATCTATCTATCTATCTATCTATCTATCTATCTATCTATCTATCTATCTATCTATCTATCTATCTATCTATCTATCTATCTATCTATCTATCTATCTATCTATCTATCTATCTATCTATCTATCTATCTATCTATCTTTTTTTTAGCAATTATGTATTAAATTGATAAAAAATGATGAATGATGAATAATGATAGACATTTATAATGTTACAAAAAAATAAATGCAGGAAATGGAAATAATGCAGTTTTTTTTTTTACTTTCTATTAACTAAAGAGTCCAATATATTATGATTTCCACAATTTTTATTAGGCAGCACAACTGTTTTTAATATTAATAATAATCATGTTTCTTAAGCAGAAAATCAGCATATTAGAATGATTTCTGAAGGATCATGTGACACTGAAGACTGGAGTAATGATGCTATAAATTCAGCTTTGCATCACAGAAATAAATGACATTTTAAAACATATTCAAATAAAAAAAAACTGTTATTTGAAATCGTAATGATATATATTGTTTTCTTTGTATTTTTGATGAAATAAATGCACCCTTAGCGAGACTTACCGACACATTTTCAACAGCAGAGACATACAGACACAAACAATCTTGGCCCACAAAAAGGCCAAAACACGATATATACTAACTTTTAAAATGTTAGTTTCTTTTTCTTGTTTTCTTTATATCTATCTATCTATCTATCTTAGGTAATTTTAATACTTTATAAACCTTAAAAGAAAATTATCTATCTATCTACTATCTATCTATCTATCTATCTATCTATCTATCTATCTTTTTTTTAGCAATTATGTATTAAATTGATAAAAAATGATGAATGATGAATAATGATAGACATTTATAATGTTACAAAAAAATAAATGCAGGAAATGGAAATAATGCAGTTTTTTTTTTTACTTTCTATTAACTAAAGAGTCCAATATATTATGATTTCCACAATTTTTATTAGGCAGCACAACTGTTTTTAATATTAATAATAATCATGTTTCTTAAGCAGAAAATCAGCATATTAGAATGATTTCTGAAGGATCATGTGACACTGAAGACTGGAGTAATGATGCTATAAATTCAGCTTTGCATCACAGAAATAAATGACATTTTAAAACATATTCAAATAAAAAAAAACTGTTATTTGAAATCGTAATGATATATATTGTTTTCTTTGTATTTTTGATGAAATAAATGCACCCTTAGCGAGACTTACCGACACATTTTCAACAGCAGAGACATACAGACACACACAGAGCATATAATGGAGGGGCGGTACGTACTCTGGCCGTACTGGCTGTACTGGTATCCAGCAGTGACGGGGTCCATGCTGTAGCTGGTGGCGCTGTATGTGGGGGGACAGTAGGACTGAGAGGAGGCCAGACTGTCCGCACCCTTGATGGGGTCTGAACGTTGGCTGCAGCTCGCTGAGATGGGGTTAGACGCCTCCAGACTGCCGTGGAGAGGAGAGATGGAGAAATCGTGCTGAGGCTGGGACGGGACGGCGCTGGGGTTACTTAAAATACTCATCACCTAGAGAGACAGAAAGACAGAAGCAGGTGTTTAGCAGGAATGGCCAACTTGCATGTAAAATGACCAATAAAGGACAACTTGCTTTTTATGCAACCTTTACGGCAAAATATAAAGTTGCATTTAGTTTCTCAAACAAATTTTGTGAAGACACCGTGCATTGTATTTGCTAAATGAAATCCAGTACTTGTTTCTTACTATTTTTGGGTGCTGATTCCAGAATATAGTGCCTGTTTTGCTTAAGCATGTCATAGTTTCTCACAAAATATGATGCATTTTATTGCATTTTTGCTTTCTAGAACCATTTCTAAGGTGAACAAGTCTTGTATTTTTTTCTTAATCACCAGATTTAACAATGATTTGTTCAATTCTCAGCTGATTTTGTTGCATTTTTGCTTTCTAGAACCATTTCTAAGGTGAACAAGTCTTGTATTTTTTCTTAATCACCAGATTTAACAATGATTTGTTCAATTCTCAGCTGATTTTCACGTTATTTTATGCTTGATCCTAATTTCCTGGTGCTTGACTCCTTTTGTTATTTCTATAAGAACATTAAAGCTGATACATATGCAATAAGAAAACAAAATATTCATTCTTATTTTATGAAAGACTACAAGATGGAAGGATTTTATTTGTATTTTTAAACTAAGCATAATCAAATTTTGTATTATTAAGCTTTTTCTTCTTTTTTTTTTTTTTGCAAAAGTCTGTGATATCTTTCAAAGATTTGATGCTTTTTGATCTTTTTGGCATGTGTTTAAGAGGGGCAAATACTTTACCAAATACTTTAACTTTGAACGCTTTTGCAGATATTTAATGCTCTGAGTTATCAAATGGTACAACGGCAAGAGTTCCTCTCACACGGCAGGTCATTCTCACAGTCCGAAAAAAACGGAGGGAAGGGACAGAGAGTGAATTGGTGCCAGGCACAGAGCACAGCCAGCGTCCCAGAGTGATTAGCAGCGGCCAGAAAGAGTGATACAGCAAAAGAAAGATACGGGGGAGCGAGGCCAGACCCATCAGACCCCAGCGGCAGTGCCAAACAGACCCCTGTTCCGAGGCCTCCAGCACAACAAGCACTGAGGGAGAAGATAATCCCGCCCCCAGGCCCCAGAAACACCCCCACGCTCATGAATAATAATGAGCAGCCGCCCGAACAGAGCCAAGTACGTGATCTCCCATCCCTAACACTGAAGTATTTTGAATTTAGAAATAAATTTAACAGATAATCTTGACTTACATTTTTTTATTCATTAGTTTGAATTCGAGACTCACTTAAAAAAAGTGAGATTGCAGGCTTTCCCGTAATGGATAAAATGTAATTTTTGAATTCTGAACTTTGAGCCATCTTCTTTTTGTGTGCAATATCTGTGGCAATATGTGAGAACATATATATGTCATACAATGAAGAGGGTTATGTGTTATATATTTTAAGAGACTTCCAAAAAATTGGCCAAACATCTAGCATAACAGTCTTATTTAGTCAGCTATACCTTTGAATAGACATCAATGAAAGGGACAGTTTGCCCAAAAATGAAAATTCTTTAATCAGAAGAAGATATTTTGAAGAATGTTGGTGACCAAACAGTTAAACAATAACAATAGCCATTGACTTCCACAGAATGAAAAAAAAAATACTACAGAAGTCAAGGGCTACCGTCGACTGTTTGGTCACCAACATTCTTCAAAATATCTTTTTTTGTGTTCAGCAGAAGACAGAAACTCATACAGGTTTGGAACAACTGGAGGGCAAGTAAATGATGACAGAATTTGCATTTTTTGGTGAACTGTCCCTTATAGTTATGGCCAAATTTTGAACTCTTGCCCCCGGTTTCACAGACAAGGTTTAAGCTAGTCCCAGATTAAATGCATGTCTTAGCAGTTTTAACTGAAAGAAACTTGCACTGACATATCTTAAAATATGTCATTGCCATTGTTTTGTCTCAAGATGCAAACCAATAATATTTTTGTCTGAGGCACGTTTATAAAAGTTACTTAAATGTTCTAACTGAACTATGGCCTAATACCAGGCCTTGGATTCATACAAACACTTTACAATGATTAATTTCATATTGGATGTGTTTATTAAACTGACAAATTGTGGTTGTGTTGTTCTGTGTTCAACAGTATTTTAGTTAGAAATTGTTCAGGGGAATCGTGACCTTGACGCACCTTGACCAAAAGTGGCGTAACCACTAAACTTCGCCGCAGGGGAAAGATTAAGCTCAGCTGAGATTGTATTACAAATCTACCCACCCAGAACATTAACGCAGCTAAATAAACAAAAATCAATATCATTCAGACTATTAATCTGATACGGGAGTGTGTGACATATCTGCGCAAAACAACCACCTCCGGCGAACGTCGGCTGATAATACAGTTCACAAACTAAATAAACCTTCATTTCACATACTTGAATTCTCTTTCCTTCCCAAGTAGGCTATACATTTCTTTCCTTTGTTTCGACTATATCATCTGCAGTGCTTTTCTCGTTTGTTGTGCGTCGTGTGCGCGGTAGATAATGGAAGTCAGGGCTCCAGTGTTTAAAGGACACAGCCCAGAGGCAATGCCTTCCTCTCTCCAAGTAGATTACTCCATAAATAATAATAAAAAACTAATTAATTCTCCAACTTCTGAGACCCTCCAGCCTGAGGCGGCGCAAACCCAGAATTGTAAATTGATACAATGTGCATCCTTTCAGATAAACAAATAGTGCATGTGCAACACACTAAAAGGGATTCGTTCATACCACTCTAATTTCCTTAACAGTCAATTTATACAATTTTTGTCTGCTTAAATATAGGATGAGTCCTTTCGTGTTTAGTCAAGCTCTGGAGAAACGGCTCGACAACTATGGAGCTAAAAGGAATCTGTCGGGTGCAGATGACAACATTTCAAGAGGCGATTTTCCCAAAAGCCAAACATTAAGGTTGTGCTACAACTGCATGTTCACTAGAAGAAGAAGAAGAAAAAAGTAGTACTTGAAGCAATTGTATTGAAAAAATGGAATTGCGAACAACTCATTCTTCCTCTATATTAAGCATTAAAAATAATGTTATAGTATTTCTGTGCAAATTATAAATGGTTGCAATCTGGCACAAATAGCGAATCACTGCCACTTTCACTCACCGTTCGACCAATGCACTTTCATACCTTTTCCAGTTGTTTGTCATTACTGGATAAGAAATATTAAAAGTCATTTCACAGAGATTGCACTCAACATAATATTCTGGTCATTAGGGTTATGATAGTTAACTAAAACAAAAACTAAAATGACAATTTTACTCAAATTTAAAAAATAAATAAAATTTAAACTTAAATGTATTATATTCATTATTTATTATTATTATTTAAATAAAATAAACATTAAATTAATAAAATATACAAAACTTTTACCAAGTCAAAGTTTCTCATTTTAATTTAGATTAACTTAAAGTAAAACTACAATTTCTAAAACTAAAATAAGACTTTATGTATATAAACAGAAACTAATAAAATGAAAAAAAAAAAAAAAAAACTATAGCTGGTTCAAAATATAAAATATTTTTTTTGTCCCAAAACTTTGAATGTTTTGTTGGCTGAACAATTGACACTCCAGTACACAAAAGTATGTTAAACTAAATGGTCTCTACTTCCATCCTCCTTTTAGTACATGAACTGACTATATTATTGTTATTATTGATGTTGTTTCATTTTTTTATTAGTTTTTCACAAATTTAGCAAAACTACAAACTATATCTAAACCTACACATACATATTCACCAGAATAATTTTCACAACATCCAACAATAACTCAAAGTACATAAAAATACATAAATAGCAACTTTTCGTCTCTTTCTAACCTCTATTGTGATGCTTGTTCATTATTACAAACAATGTTTTTTCAAGAGTTTGTCCGTACATCAAATCAAATATGGCATCTACTTCGACCAAAGTCTATTTATATCTGAACACAGAGTTAAAAACAGATATACAACATTTCAAAATGAAACAAACTACATATACTAAAGATAAATAAAGAACGCAGTGAAATGCAGGGATGGCAGACAGATAGAGAGGCTTTGAGGAGGGGGTTTGTGTGTGGAGAGAGTGAGACGGGGGGCTTTTAAGAGTACAAAGACTCCAGTAGCAGCACTGAGTTTGCCTTCAGGCCAGCCTGCCAACAGAGCAGATAGCACAGGCCTCTGCACCCTCGCCAGGCTCACGGCCAACACACACACTACTCTTAATCTAGCCCAGAGTGGATTAGACAGTTCCTCTCACCACTAACTCCCCCCTACCCTAATGCCCTCCAGTGCTACCTTCAAGTTTAGTGCAGGTCAGGAGGGCAGACGGAGGGGAATCAGCCCACTCAGTGTGTGTGTGAGTTATCTGAGAGCCACAGAATATCATCTCTTCTCTTCAATGATCTGCGCGGCTGATAGTCGCCTCTACTGGAAATTGTGAGCGCTTTTTCACACTCCTGCTGTCGATTGTTTGCCTGCGTTTCAAAGGACAGTCCTGGGGCCAAGATTACAGCAAATAACGCTTGCTGTAATTTATCAACCCCTTCGACTGACGCCCATTCGGGATTACAGCAGAGTAACGTAACAGAGAGAATCCTGGAAGAACTGCAGCAATCAATGTAGTAAAATGATGAAAAAGATTTCAGGCGCAGCACTGTGGATACTTCATTTCATATTGTAATTGTTTTAGATTGATACAGTTGAGGTCAAAAGTTTACACCCCTCTTTCAGAATCTGCAAAATGTTAATTATTTTACCAAAATAAGAGGGGTCATACAAAATGCATGTTATTGTTTAATTCTGACCTGAATAAGATATTTCACATAAAAGAGGTTTACATATAGTCCACAAGAGAAAATAATAGTTGAATTTATAAAAAAAAAATGACCCCGTTCAAAAGTTGATTCTTAATGTTGTTCAACCTGAATGATCCACAGCTCTATTTTTTTTTGTTTAGTGATAGTTGTTCATGAGTCCCTTGTTTGCCCTGAACAGTAA